AATTACAGAAGTTCTACAATTATGCTCCAGGACATAAACGCAGCCAATTTTTTCCTTCTTCCCCTTTTTTTTTTTTTAAATCCTAACATGACTTTTGATGTTATCAGCCATGTCCGCTTTCGACCTCCCACAAAGCCCTTGATCTCAGTGACATCCCGTGGCTGGAGCCAGGAGGTTAATTTGAGCTCTGTGTACACACTCCTTCCTTTTATCCGCTGAGAGTTTAGTCTTTCAGCAGCAGTGGGTGTCCCTTGGTTCATGCATTAAGAGAGACAAAGAAAGAGCAGTCTATTCTCATCTTCCCTGTTTTTTTTCATCATTACTATATATATACATTTGCTATATAATTATATACACCTCAGTCACATTCCTCATTTAAGCTAAATAATTATCTTCTCTTGGCTCTGTTCCTCCTTTGAGGCTGGGGGAGCTTAACACTTTTGTCAACATTATTACTAACAGAATGCACACATTTATTTGTATTCCTTCCCTCCATTTCCAAAATATTCCAGTGTTTGACTGTCATCATTTGAAGTAGGAGTAGGGACTTTGAAAAAGGTATTTAATACTTATCTTTGATACCACCCCTATTTCAGGATAAGTCTTTAATCTCAAGACTTTGCTTTTTTATGATGACCCATTGTGTTCAATAATTTTTTGTTGCTATTTTCATAAATAGTTTTCTCACAAGCAATACTATAGGAATGTCATACTGTAGTTCTTCACTCTATGGGAATGCCTTTTCTTCATTCTCCTTCAGCTATTCCTTTGTCCTCCAAGGAAGGAGGGGCTCAATAGCCCAATTATACTTTATTATGTGACACGTCGGCGTCTCATGTCCCGATTTGTGCAGTACTTTAGAGAAATGTCATGAATTTAAACCAAGAGAAAATCCCTTTCTTTTCATTCTCTTTGATCTAAACATCGATATTCTTGTTCATGGGAACATTTTCTGATCTGATCCAATGCTACATGCAAAATAGCTTTTGGTTCAGCATGAGTTTAGAGAAATTAGCATCTTGCCAAAGCATTATTTAGTGCATGGTTGTATATCCAATGCTATCATTATATTGGTCAAAACCTCATATACTTTTTCCAGCTGGGAGAAAAATCTGTGTCTTCCCCTATGGACTATCCTCATAAAATGAGAGGCTGAAACCAAGTGGGTGTAACTGATCCTCCACTAAAGCTCGTAGGGATTTGTTTAATGGTAAGATCTTCCTACAGAGATTTGGGGCCATTCTGTGGCAAACTTTATGGCAGGGATAAAAGTTTTTACAGCTGTTTGTTAACATAATATCCTCCTCATTTCCATGAGATGGTTCAGAATATCCACAGAACTATTTTTATTAAATCCTGTTTGGGATTTGTTTGTTTGTTTCCCGAGGGACAGATTGAGTGTAGGCTGCTGCAGAAGAGCAGAACCATCCCCCAGCGCAGACCCAGGGCTGCTCCGACCCACTGATTCAGATTTCCTCTGCCTTTGATACAGACTGCACATCGTCAGGGTGAAAAAGGCTATTTGTACAGGATAATCAATCCGTTTCAGTAGGTATCAGCTAAATCCCTTGCAAGAGGAAAAGGATAGAGCCCTAGGGAGGAATTCTCTTTTGCTTGCTGGCACAAAGTGTGTGCACGCTCCAAGGGAAAAAACAAATGTGAAGCAATATTGAAAGCAGCTCAAAACAAAACAAAAAAAAAAGAGCTGCCCTGAAGTTATCCCCATTCTCTCTTTGTTATCTTCTTGGTTTTGCTAAATTAAAGCCACACTAGAAGTCCCACAAGAAGTTAGGCGAAGGCAGGCAGGCAGCATCGCTGTGTGCAGGGGATATCCATGCTGGATAAAACAAAGATCAAGACCCAAATGTTTATTTTCACCATGCTTTTAGATGGGTATCACTTATTTGCAGGGATACTATGCACTTTATTTGATAGCGAGTAACCAGCTTTAGTACTCCCGGACAGAAAAACGAGTAATTTAGGTTTGGGGTTTGTTTTTTTTTTAGTTTAGGTGGGAAGACATTGTTCCTGAAGCATCGCCCTGACCCCAGCCTCGCTACATCTCTCTTGTTGGGGCTGCTTCCAAAACGTGATCTGGTGGTACATATGGGAGAGAAGTAGCTGCCAACATATGAACATCAATTTTATTTTATTTTTTTAATAATAAATATCCTATTTCATTAGTTTCTTTCCCAGTATTGCTAAAAAAATTACCAGTAGAGAGAACAACATCACATTAACAGCTGTCTTTCTGCCCACATACTAACCTGTATCCTTGTGAAGGGATAAGTATAGATCTTGCTAAATTACTGTGGAGGGGGGGGTGTGAGGTTCCAGCTCACCCAGCAAACCACAAGCTGCCGCTAATGGAAGTGCCACCGCAGCAGTGAAATGGGTCCCCAAAGCACAGGAGAGTTTAGTGAGATCCAGATGTGTTCAGCACCAGGATATTATTCACCTGCTCACTGGAGCTTGACACCGATCGTTTAATAATAGTCTTTGCACTGTATGATCTGTCTTGCTGTTAAAAACAAACCCCAAACAAACCAACCAACCCTCTTATATTAAACAAGGGAAAACATCAGCAGTTTTGTATCTTTTCTTAAAATCCCTCTTGTTCTCCTGCTACTGAGGTGTGCTCGAGGACTGATCCCCCACCTAGGTAAGTTATTTCTGCCAGAGCTTCCAGAGCTGATTGCTTCTAGACATTTTGAGCTATTTTCTTATGTTAAATAAGCTCTAAGACCAACCTGACAATGTTAAAGCAAGGGCTCAACTCTTGGGGTGAATGACGCTCAGATTCACACTGGCAGGTTTTGATTTAAAACTCATTCCTGTGGAAGAGCAGCTCAGGATCTTACCAAAGACGAAGGGGATTTGCATCAGTTCACTCACGTAACTTTTCTGTGGCTGGTTTTAGGCTGGGTGGGTCTTTGCCTACAGCTGCACCTGTATGAAACACAAAGACCAAGCTGTTAGTAATTGCCCTGGTTTAGGCTGAGCAGCCTGGACCACCAGAGTGAGCCGTCTTGCAGAGCCAGGCTTGCTGCCCATGGCAGGGGAAGGGGATGAAGGACCAAGCCCAAGCTCTGACTCTTCCTCCAGCCCCTTTGCACAGCGTGGAATAAATTCAATAACCAGTAGCATTATCCATCACACTCCTCTCCGCTTTGCAGTGCAAGTTTGGCCACACATGTGGTTTTTAAGGTGGTGTAGAGGGGTGTAGCAGACACATTCTGGCTTCACCACGTCTTGGGCTGAGAGGAGCCCAGATGGGAAAGTGCTAATTGCACCAAGGCACCAAAATTAAAACAAAGATTAAAATTATAGAAATTGTCTGGCCAGCCTTTTGCTAAGCAGCCTGCGTGAAATCTTTCCCAGGGCAAACCAGCAACTGAAACGTGCAGATAATAATAAGTGGTAGCAGCAGGTCTCATTAGCCTTTCCTCCCAACCCGACTGTTGGCTGATGCGTGTAATAAGTCACTTAATGATCCAAGATTTGTTTAAAAAAAAAGAAAAAAGATTTCCAGTCAGATTTGTGTGCCTTTGAATGGGTCTAAATCACAGGTTCAGAGCCTGCCATGGGTGACTATAGGCTTGGGCTTCTCTTTATCAGTAAAGTCCCAGCCCACAGTAAAATCACTTAGTGAGGGGTGGCTCATCATCAGGCCGGTTTGGTTTCATCTCTTCAGACCACAGCTCTCTTGCTAGGACACCCAAAGCAAGTGCATTATTTACAAATTAAAGCTCAGCGCAATTTACAACTCTCCAGTTGTGTTACTTCTATAACTCCTCAGGGGAAGAGCCCAACGCTTCCCAGCTGCCTACACCCAGATCACAAACAGCTCACGGCGTGGGGCACACGCTGTGGGACCAGCTGTAAAGCATCTTACCACCCTTCTCTTCTTGCAAGAGAAATTTCAACCAAGGTGTGTTGGCAGCGGAGCAGACGCACTTGAGCATCTGTACAGCGGAGGCGATGGGCATTGCTCGGCGGCTAAGAAAAGCAGTGTTAGTGCTGGTTTGCATTTTTTAGCTAGAAAACCCAACAGGTGCTGAGCAGAACCCTTCCCCGGCTCAGGCTGTAATGAAAGGCAAAAGCATTTCTGCAGCTGGCTGGTTTGGCGCAGGGCTAACGCCGGTGCCACCAGACGTGTGCGCTCACCGAGCTGCCACGAGCAATTAGCATGCAGGAGGTTCCTTCCACCTCCTAATTCACACAGAATAATTCATTAGCAAAAAGTCCTCAGCAGCACTAGTCTGCTGACAGGTCCTCATTGTAGATGTGTTCTTTGATTTGCTTTAGAAGATAAATTGACCCGCGAAACACCAGTCTACCTCATGCTAATGAGTCTCTGTAGGGCCATTGTGAGAATTAATTTATTTGTCTAAGGCTTTCTCCATAGTGCTCATCTGCTCGAATGAAGAGACATAATATGTCTAACACACTGGAAATACTAGATCAGATCACCCTACCCTGGAGGTCTCTACCCTACATTTGGTGTCTTGGGCTAAAGTAGTTCTGGCTTGGGTCTGTTTCCCACCTGTACAGCTAAAAGGACCAACATGTGTCCTCCTGCTCAAAGAGCTTCATAATCAGCAGCTGGAGAAGTTACATCAGCACCAGCAATTCCTGTCCATCTGATCAAGGGCTTCCTCACCCTTTTTTGCACCTTTAAAAGCAACAGAATAGCCTCTTTGTTCCAGTGGCTGTAGAAAAGAACTCTACAGTCTTTCTGAATTTTGGTTTTTGAATATGGTCTCCTTGTTTCTGGCCATTTTCTAACAACAAACAGCTTTGAAATGTCTCTCTGCCCCTCCCAATTACACAGACACACTCCTGGCCTCTACAGAAGAGATGGTTAGCCCTAGTCAAACATCCTACCTAATTAACTCATGTTCTTTCCCCTCCAAGAACAGCCTGAGAGCCCAAAGTGATGCCACCAAGCAGAGACGTCCCCCCACATTAATGTCCCTCTCCTTTTCTTTCCCCTGCAGCTTGAAAGCTGTCCTGATGGGGAAGCCTCAGGACAACACGGTGGACTTGTCGGGTATCCCACTGACGCTGAAAGACTTGGACCGTGTCACGTCCTACCTCCAGCACAGCTCGGAGCACATCGACACGGTGGAGCTGTGCTTCACGGAGCTGACGGACGACATGCTGCTGCAGCTGCTGCCGGCGCTCTGCGTCCTGCCCCACCTCACCACCCTCTCCCTCAACGGCAACCGGCTCACCAAAGCCATCCTACGGGACCTCACTGAAACCTTGAAGGACCCCAAGAAGTTCCCCAGCGTCACCTGGATCGACCTCGGCAACAATGTGGACATCTTCTCCTTGCCACAACCCTTCTTGGTCAGCCTAAAGAGACGATGCCCAAAGCAAGGCAACTTGCCAACCATTTTGGAGTTTGGTGAGGGTCAGGTAAGTGACTTGGAGAGCCAAGATGGCCTGGCCGAGAGCCAGGAGGACCTGCGAGCTGGACCAGGCAAGACGGACAACATAGACCTGCAGCAGACGGACAGAACAGTTGAGGCTGGGGAGCTCCCCAACTCGGAGCAAGGTGCTGCGACACCGCAGACATGATGTTGGGCTCCGTGGCTTTTGGGTGGGTGTGTTGAGCAAGGATGATTTAAAACCAAGACCTCAGCGCTGGGAGGTCCTGGAGGGTCAGTTCACATGGTGGGATGCTTCGGGAGTCTGGACTGTTGCCTTCCTCCCGTACAATGAATGTCAACTTCCTTCTTTTCAAAGAACACATAAAGGTGATGGCGTTAAATACTTGTATTTTATAAAAGCTGGCCAGGTATTTTTAAACACTAGTGATGTGCTATGCTTTTTAACCTCTCAAAAATGCATCTCCGAGGTGGTGTAGTATGAGAGGCCCGTAGAAGAGCACAAAAGGGGAGAAGAAAGGTGCCCAGACTTTGCTGGGAAGGGCTCCCTTTCCTTAGTGCTGGCCAGATGGACAGACAGCAGTCACCCCAGGGAGGGCTGCCACCAAGATAAACCTTAAATCCTTTCCAAGTCCTGACTTTGGGAGTTGCTGATGAATAGCACAGCTGCTGAGATACAACAGCCTGAGCACACACTAACCAGGGGTCTTTCTCTTCATCTTGTGAGCCAGCCCCAAGGGAGAGCTTTGCTTTCCTGGTGTGGAGCTAAATCCCAGCCCGCTGCGTGCCTGGCCACCGCGCTCGCCCTCCAGCCTTACCCGAATCAGGCTGGCACTTGTGCCTGCCCAGTATTTATTCAGATGTAAAATCCAGTTTCCCACCAGCCGTGCTGCTGTCCTAACTCCAGAGCTTTTCATGTGGTACCTGGAGCTTGCACCAGCAACACTGAGAGTGTTTGATCCACTTTGGGGGAACAATCCATGAAATCTGGAGCTGGGGCTCAGCTCAGGTTTGTTGCTGTTGCTGATAAGAGACCACAATAGTGAAGATTTATAAAAGAAAAAATAATCCTGGGGTTCATCCCTGACTCGCTGCCACCGAGGGCTGGGTGGACACAGTGGCTGGAGGTTTAAAGCCTGAGAAAGGCTGTTGGATCACTTGGCTGTGTCCACTGCCCCCTGGACCAGAAGTGCTTTGTTTCTAAAAATGTTGTTTTGGTTTTTATTTCTAAGAGACACGGTTTTGATTTTGTTTTATTTTTGACAGAAAATGGCTCACCCCAGAGCAGCAGTGCTGGAATGGGAACTTTGGCTTTTGAAACAGAATTTCATTTGATCCTAAACCTGGGGGAGGGCAGGGAAGTGTGAAAAACTTCCTCTCCCTTCCGCTCAAAGGACCAAACACAACTCCCTTTGCTAAGAGGGAGCCCCTTTCAATCTGTTCAAAGCCCATCCCCGACCAGCTTTAAAGCACCGTTTTCCTGGCTGGCAGCAGTGACCCTCTGGCTTTGCTGCTCCTGGGTGCAGAGTCAGACTTTTTGGTTGTCTCTTTGGCTCTGTCCATTCACCATCACCGGACCGGGAAGCTTTTTCCAGAGGGGCTTCACGCTGTCGGTTGTCGTTTCTCCTCCGTACGCAAGTAGATTACTTAGAAGAAACTCTGCTACTCGTTTTAATACATTTGGCAATGTTCAGTATGATTTGCATGTATCCAAGCCTTTTTCCTTTTTTTTTTTTTTTTTTAAATGCTAACTCTTTCCAACAGGCATGAAGAAAACTTTGCAGTGAATAAACTGTTCTGTTTGAAATAAAGGAGCTATCCGTAATCAAAAATAAATGACAATGTTTAATAAAGACCCAGTGTTGAAATTTTTCCTCCGTACAGGTTGAAATGCCCAGCTGGCAGCACGGAGCATCCCAGCAAAAACCAGTGCTAAGCACTGCAGGACTGGGTTCCCCAGGGTGTTTAAAAAAAAGGTTTGCTGTAGCTGGTTGGGGGAATAAATGGCCCCGTTAATGGGCTGGATTCCACAGGGTGGGCACAAGGTGGACACAGAAGCATCATAAAAGTATCTGCTAAATTTTAAGTGTCACCAATGTGCAAAATTAATGTGGGAGAAGGAATACTGAGAACAGCATACTGCTCCACGGGACACTTCTCTCCAGGGTTACAGTCTCAGTGCGCTGAAGGAAATGGCTTTTTATTTGCAGCAAAGACTCTCTGGATGATGTTTGTTCCAGCACCCAAAGCATGGGGGGGGGGGGGTCGCACAGGACGTGGCAGCCAACGCACTGGTGGGAGCAGGTTTGTCCTAACTCACAGGAGACCTCTCCTGCAGCACTTGGGGACTATTTCCACCACTACCATGACTTTAATAAGGTACCTTTAATAGAAGTATAAATTAAGCAAGATGCGATACACCAGGTTAGCCAGGTCCCAGCTGCATCCCTAACCATCAGCCCATCCCTGCAGGAGGTTGCACTTCTCCCCCTCCCCAGGAGCCCCGGGCAGGGGTCTCCTTGCCTATGGCAGGCTGTAGGATGGAGCCTATGGCACGTATGTTTTGTTTGTATGGAAAGGCTGATACATGCATCATGTAGAGCCTGTGTCTACAGCCAGGGCAGGCAATGAGATGTGGGCAGTAAAGCCACCATCACTACTTCATCCACCACACGCATACATTGTCCTGCTGGGCCAGTAGCACATCCCTCGTGGACATTTGTTAACATATGGGGATTTCATCAAGAACAAGATTTCTCATTGCAAAAATAAACTCCAGTAATTTCTTCTATAAGAGGTCCAGGACCAGTTTACTCAGTACCTCAGCACTGGGCTACCCTCCTTCTTACGCACGGCTCAGGCCCTCTGCTTAAATTATTAAAATCACAAGCTCCTCGCTGCAAGCTTTTTATTTCCTGCTAAGTATTTGCACAGGAACCAGCCATCCTGGGCCTCAGCATCTGTCTGGACACACACCCCTGCCCCCCCCCCCCCCATGTACCCCGCCCAATTCCACAAACCCGACACCTGGCCCCCCGTCCCCCCTGTTTGGCCCCCCCCCCCCGCCCCCCCCCCCCCAAGTTTAGCCGTGCAAATTCATAAACCAGAGGCACTTTGCATTTATAGCGCTGCATCATTTATGGATGCTTTGCACGCTCAACTCCCTCACCGACACCAACCACCCAGGAGGTTGCTCCTGCCACACTTCCCCTCCAGCTGAGCTTCTACCTGCTGTGAAACACATCAATCAACTGGGAAATAGTTTGTGTTTATCAGGCCTCTTTCTGCAAGGGGCTACCAGCAGCCCATCAGCTCAACTTTCAATTGCACGGGGCTTTGTGCCCGATGCTGCCACAGATTTGCTGTGAATCAGGAGCACTTTGTCCCAGCCATCCCTCTCTGTTGTGAAATGCTGGTCCTTCGTGTGATCATCCAGGACCACTCTGCAAAGGACAAGCCTCCAGAGAAAGACCCCACGTCCCTCAGCCCTTTGCCCCACGCAGGCGTTGTGCTGCTTGAGCCAGCTCTGCTCCACTGGCACAGACAGCATTGCTGTGCCCAGCGAGGATTTAGCCCTTCTGAGAAAGGGAAATAACTAGAAAGGACCTTTTATCGATAGATTTGTGAAGCTTCCACCAAATTAACAGCTTTCATAGGAAAAGAAATAAAAAAAAACCCAGCTCCTGTTACTCAGCTATAAAAACAAGAAGGCTTTAGCTAATCAGTCTCTTTCTTGCAGTGTGAATTAGGTCAATTAGCCATTTAGTCCACTTCTGCATGACGATGATCCTATGGGCTCAGGAAATATGTTTTTTGTTGTGATTGTTTGTTTGTTTTTTTCAATGAAAGTAGCCTGAAATTTCTTCCCTTCTCAGCCCATCAGCATCAAAACAAGCTTGGAGCTCAATCCATATATAATCAATGTTCCTCATGCTACACTGGGCTGCTCGTTCTAGTCAGAGGCTTTTAAATGGCCCTAGAAGAAGGATTCAAGTACTGAAAATCACTGCTGTTAGAATATTAAAAGTTGATTGAGGTCATTTGTTGTCAAAGGGGGGAGGAAATGGCAACCATAAAATAAAAAGTCCATAAAACATCCAAGCCCGGTTTGGTTAGTTATCTCATCTCCACCAGTGACACACAGCTCTGCCTGTGCATGAAAGAAACGAGTCTGTGGGAGAAGATTTATGCCTTCAGCAACGAAAATGTAATTGGAAATCATTCTGTGCAGACTGAAGAGCCCACACGAGGGGGAATCAAAACAGCAGGCGAGGAATGAGAGAGGCATGAAAGGGCTGATGCCACACGCTCCGGAGGGCTCGTTCCATCTGGATTATCTCTAAAGAGTTTGCATGAGCCCAGTTTGGGTTTTGAAGGTGATTATTCATTTAAAATGAGGGTTATGCTTCTGGAAGGGGTTGGGCTGGAAGTGTGGGCAGGCAAGAGGGCTGGTGGTGGTCACCCCTGAGCATGGCACTGCGCTGGAGATCCAGGAAGCCACAGAAAACACAGTTGAGGGCATTGAGAAGCTCAAAACCACTTTGGCCAAAAGCAGTGCTTGCTGCTCACCAGGCCTTTGGAGAAGAGCAGAAGACTGAAAATGCCTGCCCAAAACTGCCCAAACACCTACCCAAAACTGCCAGCGCAGGGAGGGCCAAAAAGTGACCCAAGGGCCTAAGGAGACACCAGGGGGGCAGCAGCAGCTGATCCATGGAGAAGGTCCCCCCAGGCAACGAAACCCCCCTGGGTTATCACAGGGCAACTAACTTTGCACTCAGGCACAAACATTTCAGCTCTTTCCTCTGCTTCAGCACATCTCGTTTCAGCAGCAGGGGAGGAGGAAGCTCCTGAGCTCGTGCAGGGACCACTCATGTCTTCAGAAAGGCAAAGACTCCCGTGCTCCATTAACTGGGAGAACATCACCAGTAGCTGCTATTGCCAAGGAAACTGATTGACCTTATTAGCAGTATTCATGCATTGATGCTCATGAGGAAGGGAAAAAACAACTAACCTAACCTTGCCCATATAACGTACCTAGGTGAGCAACAGAGACAATTTCTTACCAACCTCTTTAGTAGGCAGATGTCGTCCTGGAAACATCCCACAGTGATCCCACTCGTCCTTCGCTCCAGGGGCTGTTGAGTTTTTATCTCCCTGGGGGCCACATTCCACCAGCAGACTGTACACAGCGAGGGCAGACAATCCTTCCAGCTGTATTCAGTGTCTTTAGCATTGCATTCTGAAGGACAAGCGGAAAACCAGATCCATCACTCACAGCCCTTCAACAGCCTCCAGTGATGTGAGTCTCCCTGCTTCATGTAAGCAGGCCTTATCTTCAAGAAATAGTCTCAAGTGCTCAACAGCCCTAAGCAAAAGAACTGACAACCCTGCAATACCAGAACCTGCCAGGCTTTGGAGATTCAGCCTTTCCTTCCATTACCTTGGAGGAATAGAGGTCATCTAAGATGATGAAGTGGAGTTAAAGGCTCGATGGGGATTGCTCCCCTCCCTTATAGCATCCCATGACCAGCTGGTTGAACACTTTCAAGATACAGGCTTGCAGGCAGCACATCATGACTGCTACTTATCACACAAAACTAGCCAAAAAAAAAAAAAGAAATACCATAGGTTTGGATCCTGTGGTGTATTAACACGTGTGTGGTCAAGGACAGCTCGTCCTTGAAGGCAAAGTGAGGAGCAACCACCATCACCCTGCACCAATTACAGCCACGCTCTCTGCTTTGAGCACTGCTGTGCTGAGCTACAAACCCCACCAACTTCACCATAAACATGAATACCTGCAGCTGGTGGCTGCTTGGGGGCAGGAAGGTTCATCACCAGGAGATGGGCAGAAGAGATGAGGAATTATTAGCACAGGGCTGGCTGCGAGGCTGCCCACTTATTTCACCCCACTGCAACCCACACCCTGCTGGTGCCAGAGGAGCTCCTCCAAATCCCCACAGCTGCAATCCCTGCCCCACCAGGACCAAGCCCTGGGTGGGATCAAGGTCTCTCTCCCTGATGCACAAAGCCCAGTGCACCCTTTGCTCTCACATTCTTACTCCTTTACTCACACCCATCACACCCACCTTCGGGAAAAAAAATCATCTTTCCACCCCCCAACCCCCCATCTTTCCTCTTCTTTATTCAGAGGAAAAACTGAGTATTAGGCACACGGGAAGGGGTTTGAGGAAATGGTTTTGTCTGCACTTGCTAAAGGACTGGCGTTTCCCTGATGCAGCCCCCCTCTCTGCCTTAGCAAAACCCAGCTTGTGTAGAATTTATTTTCATTTCCTTCTAAGCTTTAAGAAAGAAATACATATTTTGCAGGGCTGCAGCGCGTGGAGGATTTCCCTCGTGCTCCCCGGGAGCACACAGCACTGCAGGGGAGAACTGAAATAGTAATTAAACCGGAGGGGGTGGCGGGTACAGGCTGGGTTTTTCCTTACATCTGTGTTTTGCAGCCTCTGGGTTGTAAAGAAGCAGGTTCGTAGGAAATGGCTGTTTATGGGGAACGGGTGAATGAAAAATAATTGCAACTGCTGCAAAAGAAGGTGGGCTTTCAGTGTGAAAAACATGTTTTTTCAAACAAGAAAAAGCTGACCTAGTGGAGCAGGTCGGCTGACTTCTGTTGCCGTTACAAATATTTACTGGAAAACGCGGTGTTTGGGGAGCGTGACGAGGAGGGAGAAAGATTTCTTCACTTGTCCTGGTTCATGTTTAACAATGTCCTCCTGAGCAGACACTGCTGCTCCTGGGTGCAGATGCCACCCAGATCTCAAAGGCAGGAAGGCAACGAGCTGCCCGGAGCAGAGCTACAGCAAAATCTTAATG